CCAAGCATGTTCCATGAGTTTGGGTGGCTTGGTCGCCTTGTTTACTTTGGGTTTCTTTCAGTTTCGTTAGTTTCTGAACGAGGAGTTTTGAGCATGTTCCATAAGTTTGGATGACTCGGTCTTTTCCTGCTTTGGTTTGAAGAGAAAATGAATCAGGTTGAGGACCAAAACATGTTACATAAGTTTGGGTGGTTTTGGTCCAATCCCACGCGCATGCTGGAACCAGAAGGTTATAACTTGGTTATACCTTACTACTATTCTATCTATGAACAGGCTAGTCAAACAGGGTTCCATAAGTTTGGGTGGTCTGACTATAGCTTATCACCAACAGACGAGAATACTGATTAAGAATAAACTTGTGGTACGAAGGGACAGACTCAATCTTGAGCTAAAGATGATCAGTTCGGTTATATGCTACCTCAAAAGACTAAATGCAGATAATTATATAAAACTCGGATACTTAAACAGTTCAGGACGACTAGGGTGACGTAGTCATCTGCCCAAAGAAGAGAAAAGTTGTTGTGCCCTATGTTTGTGTATATTCAATGGTTGAGCTAGACATGTTCCATAAGTTTGGGTGGTCTAGCTTTATGCCTTATGTAAGTTGGGTATAAAGGGATAAATCATTGAAATATTATGAACTATTGTTTGTTAAGGTTAAGTTGGGGATTGTGAAAGTACTTATCTTTGTGATTTGACCTTGCATGTGACTGAGCGCGACTACGACTTAGTCCGAGTTTCAGTTGTTAGGTAGTTGCTTTAGTTGCTCGCCACGTGCTAGAGTCATAAAAGTTAGTTTCAATTCCTGCATTTTATGAGCTAAGTTTTTTTTACTTTGGTAAATTTTTGCATTTTTTGGGATCTTTTATTATACTTTGGCTTGTATAAATCTTGGTAAGCCACTTTCTCTACGGGAAGAACTGCCGAAATTTCTACAAAACCAAGGAGTTAGTCAAATTTTGTCTTTTTCAGGGTCCAACTTTTCTGACTTTTTGGCTTAGTAAAAATATGAGAAACCTCATTTTTTAAAGGGAGTGCTGCCTAATTTTTTATTAATTCAGGGAGTCAGACAAAATTAGACCTTGAGAAGTCAAAGTCATTTTTTTTGAACTTAGCGTTGTATAAATATTGGAATAGCACTTTCTCTACCGGAAGAGCTGCCAAAATTTCTGCAAATCTAAGGAGTTGAGGGGTTGAGGGTCCCGCGGAACTGTCCCCCTTGGCTTTTTGCTGGGGGTTCCGACTGCTGGCCCGCGAGGCAGGGCCAAGGACCAGGAGTCGGTGGTTCCCCTCCCTTGTCGGCTTCATTTTTTAATTTTTACTTTTTATTTTTATTTTTTGAGTTTTACCTAAGGCTTTATTTGTTTATTTTTCTTATTTCCTATTCCATTCTGGGATGCAGTCCGGCGTCGGCCTGCGGGACCGGTCGGGAAGCCCAGCAGCCTAGTTCCGTGGATACAGCCACGAACTGTTGGGATAGCACTACCGTGGTGCTGTCCTTTGAGATATCCGTTATAATTGGAACGATAGAGAAGACTAACATGGCCCCTGCGCAAGGACGACATGTATAAAGTCGGGAAGTGCCCCTACATTTTTTTTTTGTATGTTGTTATGACTGCGTGCGATGATTTTCTTCATCCTCGCGCCCATTGACTGAGTTTCGACGGTAGCATTGCGGAGAGGGAAGGTTGGCACAAGGAGTAAGGAGGTAGCAACGGGGGAGATAGGTGGGGAAAAGGACGAGTGAAACGAAGTTCAGGGAACTTATTATATGAAGCTTGTGATTTTTTAGCTAATGCAGCTAGTAATAAGAAATATTTTTTATTAGTAGAAACAAAATTTCAAACTTCTAACTTAATAAATCAGAAGCACTTAAATCTAGATGTCATTATGTAAATCAAAGATGGCTAGGTGGTATGTTAACTAATTGGATGGCGATAGAAACTCGAATTCAACGACTTAAGAATCTAGAGACACAAGAAAAGTTAGGTGYTTTTCATAATTTACCTAAAAAAGATGCAACAAATCTAAAAAGGCAATTAAATCAAGAAATTTTACTTTTTTCCCATGAATCATACAAATGTTGATAAATTTGTGTATCAATTGTTGTACCTTGCAATTTTTTAAAATCAAAAGCTCAAAGAGGGAGACTTGTGAGATTTTTCGGTCAGTAAAACGATGAGGACCCCTAAAAGAGGCCACTTGATAAGACCACTTAGATTGTCAAGTACTGGACGTCTTCAATGAGTATATAATCTATGTTATAATAAAAAATATATCTTGTTCATTTCTTTGCTATTTGCCTTAACTTTATTTATTCAATTTAATAAAATAAAATAAAATTAATTTAATTTTAACTTGATAATTAAAGCCACCTATTCTACGTGCTTTTATTGTAATTTTAGGAGTTGCTCGTACTACAGTTTATCGAAGTATTAAAGATGGATTTTTCTTTCTTTTATGCTTAATTTATTTGATTGCGTTGTATAAAATACGAGAAGCTAAGGATTTTTTTTCATTTTTTAAGATTCGGTTAACCATCATGTTAACTAAACGACTTCTGTAAATAGAATCGGGCTTAGGAGACGTAAATCTCAGAGATATTTCTATGAAATATTTATATATGATTCGTATATATTGATTCTATGCATATTTGATTTTCTTGTAAGTTAATTAAATTTCACTAAATGAGTTTATGATCTATATAAAATAAAAAAATAAAAAATTTTGTAAAGTAAAAAATTTTGATATATATCATATAGGATAGGAGGCCAGACCCACTTATGTCATTAGTAGACTAGTTTGAAGAAAAATAAAAATAAAAATTACTTACTACACCTAAACCTAAAGTGTTATCCTATTTATTCGGAATTCTCATAAATGCTAATGTTTTCTTCTTTTTTTTACCTTCATAAAATTTTCAGATAGCTTCGAATTGTGATATTTGTGATGTATAAATAGATTGATTAGATCTAGAGAGAGATTAATTTATTGGATTCATAGATTCTTTTGTTATGTCTACTAAAAAATATATCATTTGAATCTATCATATACTCTTTATCCTCCTATCTGAAATTTCTATGTTGGAAAGATGTATATAAGATGACAAAAAACAAAAAAAAAAGATCTATCAAGTATTCATATTGTAATCAATATATAAAATATAAAATATGAATGTATCAAATATAAATATGTCAAATATAAATATGTCAAATATAAATATGTCGAATATAAATATAAAAATATACTGTAAAATTTTAGAATACAATCATACAATAGACAGTATTTATGTATTGTAAATTGTCTACAAACAAGCGTGAATGTCATTCATACAGAACAGAAGGCAGATGGGCGACTTCTTTTCCACATTGATTTGATTCATTAGTGGATATAAGATTATAATAGATGAATTAACGAGATGAATTAGTATTGATAGAAATTCATTTCATTATTTATTGATTATCCTATTGAATACTAGAATACATTTTATTGAATTATAAATTAATATATTTGAGAAGTGAGTATTGATAATAAATAAAAATCATGTTGTTTACATTTTACTTAATTTCTCTTTCTTTCTATATAGAAAAAAAAATATTAAGAAGAAGAATAGTCTATTCTTTTTCTATCGTATATAACTATATCGCTTATTACCTATAATTACTTATATTATATTTGTAATCCAAAATAACAAAAAAAAATTCATTTACGTATTCTTACTAATATTGATTAAATAGCTTATGAGAATATTGGTTTTATTCCTAGATCTATTACTCGAACTTTGTATCGATTCAAAACTGAATTGACTGGTAAAACAGCTTTAATTCTATTTCGAGAATTTCGCTTTGCCAAATATCAAGCTTTAGCTTTTATTCAATATGGATTTTTTTGCTCCTACTGCCTTGGATAGTTACTCTTCTTTTTAGATTTTTTTTATAGAGCATTCAATAAACATTTAGTGCAATAAAAGTTGAATAACCTACTGCCTTGGATAGTTACTCTTCTTTTTAGATTTTTTTTTTTAGAGCATTCAATAAACATTTAGTGCAATAAAAGTTCTATTCAACTTTTTAATGCGCCGCAAAAAAAAATAGCTTTGTTATGAGAAATCTAAACTTATCTGATCTGCTGTAACTTTTTTGATTTGACACTTATGACAACAATTCAACAATGGCACGAAGTGCAACCATCTAAACTCTATAAGCAACTTGTCAGAAATTGATCTTAGATTTCTGGCATTATATTATAATGGACTCTTTCTTGAACCTTTGATAACGAAAAACGTCCACTGGGAGTATCATGCTTCCAGGACAGAATCATACAAGAAATTCTTAGAATGATCTTCGAACCTATTTATGAACCCCGCTTTTCCACTTATTCACATAGTTGATAAAGCACGCAATAGATTATTTTGTTATGCAATTTTTTTTAATGCAAAAAATCGATTGAAATTTGATCCGACTTCAACTTTAATAGGTTTTGTTTGTCAAAAAGAGAGTTATGTTCGCTTCGCGCCTGGTCGTTACTTTTACTTCATTTTTTTGCAATCTTTATTATCTAGTCGAGCAAAAACTCATACAGTGATTAGGCCGTTGAAAGTAACTTTAGTTTATCTAAGTGTTTCTTTGATTGCATAAGAAATATGCCCGGATCAAGGCAAGGAGGATGTTCGGCCTCGTATCAACTCGGGAAACTGAGTTCCGCGGGAGGTGAGGTGACTCCACCTCTCGCTCCGCCAGATTCGGCCGCCTTGCTAGCGGGCCTCCTACACATCTGGGGAGGATGTGAATGTCGCAAGTTCTCAGTACACCTACGAGGACTATGCTGTCCACTTGGTCCCACCGTTGGACGAACCGTTGGACGAACCGTTGGACGTGCAACAATCTACCGCATGCACGGTTTCACCACCATCGACAACCGATTCGGCATTTTCGCCGCCATCTATCACAGGGGATTCAACGTCATGGTCAAGACTTGAAGAACTCGACCCGTTGACGTTTGCGGACTGCCAATGGATGCCCCTTCCCCGGTCCGGTCGATTGCCGAAACCGCATTGCAACGTGCTCATGGCACAGCTGCGGGATTACTTGCACACTGCAATACCAACTCCGTTGATGGACGCCGGAGTAGAGGTATTCGACCTTCACAATTACATTGCGAAGGCCGCGAGTTCAAGACACAACGGTACGACGACATGGACGCACCATTGTTATATGTACGCATTCAGATCGGAGAGGCGACCTGCAACGCTTTGATCGATTGCGGAGTATCTCGCAACTACATGAGCCAGGACTTTATGGTACGCCCGACCTTGGCCCACGCGTCCGGAGGAAGTCCCAGCCTACGCAAGTCACGTTGGCAGACAGTCACACGCACAAGTCAATCGATCGGTGCATAGATGACGTCCCCGTGTACTTTGCCCCGCATGCAAGCGAGGCGGTGTCCTTTGATATCTTGGACACCAAATTCGACACGATCTTGGGCATGTCATGGCTGCGAAGCGAGGATCACCCGGTGAACTTCTACCCCCGCACCGTTCACGTTCGTGATCGGAACGGAGTACTAGTCTCATGCACGGTGGCTCCTCCTCACCCTTCGATCAGCTGCCACGTGGTGTCCTCCGCAAGCATGCGAGCTTCCATCATCAGAGACGACATCGAGGAGATGGGGGTGTGTTTTCTCCACGCCCTCCAGCCCCATGACGCTTCATCGACGGACTCATCTTCGGACCCACGCATCACCGAGCTTATCGACGCCTACGACAACGTGTTCGAAGGCCCGCACGGAGTAGTCCCGAATCGGCCCATCCGCCACGAGATCATCCTCGAGGACGGGGTTGTACGTCCGCACGGTTGCATCTACCGAATGGGCGAGGAAGAGTTAAGTGTGCTACGGGCACAACTTGACGACCTTCAGGAGAAAGGCTGGATTCGGCCTAGCTCATCGCCATACGGTGCTCCCGTTCTCTTCGTCCGGAAGAAGAACAAGGATTTTCAATTGTGCATCGATTATCGCAAGCTCAACGAGCAAACGACCAGAAACGTCGGCCCTCTTCCACGCATCGACGACCTTCTCGAACGACTGGGCGGCGCCAAGTTCTTTTCCAAGCTTGACCTCAAGTCGGGATATCACCAACTCGAGATTCGGCAGGGGGACTGCTATAAGACCGCGTTTAAGACGCGATATGAGCATTTCGAATGGCTGGTTATGCCATTTGGCCTTGCGAATGCCGCAACCACTTTCCAAGCGGCTATGACAACGGAGTTCCGACACATGCTGGATCGATTTGTACTTATCTACCTCGACGACATCCTGGTGTACAGCCGAAGTTTGGACAAGCATGTGGAACACCTGTGCACCGTTTTGGAGCGGCTACGACAAGCCAAGCACAAAGCCAACCGCGACAAATGCGAATTCGTGTGGCAGGAGCTGGAGTACTTGGGACATTATGTGACGCCGCAAGGCATCCGTCCGCTTGCGGACAAGATCAAGGCCCTCCGCGTATGGCCCGAGCCCACCAACACCACGGACGTTCGTTCATTCATGGGGTTGGCGGGCAACTATCAACGATTCATCACCGGGTACTCAAGGATTGTTGCACCTATGACGAGATTGCAATCGCCAAAAGTGTCATTCGTATTCAATGACGACGCACGTCAGTCATTCCAAGCACTTAAGACGGCCATGCTCATGGCACCCGTCCTTAGTATCTATGACCCCACCCTGCCTATGAGAGTGACAGCTGACGCTTCCGGCTATGGCATTGGGGCAGTCTTGGAACTACGACGGCGACGACTGACACCCTGTGGAGTATTTCAGCCACAAAGTGTCTCCCATCAATTCGCTTGATGATACAAGGAAGAAGGAGCTGCTCGCGTTCGTGATGGTTCTCAAGCGATGACGACACTTCCTCCTTGGGCGTCGTAGGTTCACATGGGTCACGGACAACAACCCATTGACCTACTACAAGACGCAGGATACGGTGAGCAGCACGATCGGGCGATGGATGTACTTCATCGACCAATTTGACTTCACACCGAAACACCTCCCCTGCCTCTCTAATCGCGCAGCAGATGCACTTTCGCGAAGACCTGGTCTTTGCACTACGACACATCATGCCTTCGCATTCGACGAGGAACTCCAACGACACTTCATCCGGGGTTATGAGTCTGATCCGGACTTCGCCACATTGTACGCGCAGCTATCTTCGGATCACCCGCCGGCCAGCCACTATCGCATTGCCGACGGGTACTTGCTCCTCCACTCAAGAGGCAAGGGCTTACTATGTGTCCCACGAGATCGTCGTCTTTGGACTCGCCTTCTCGGCGAGTATCATGATCCGCGACTCGCCGGCCATTTCGGAGTCAACCGCACCATTGCACGACTTCGACAACGATTCGGATGGCCCGACCTCATTACCGATGTCACTCGGTATTGCGACTCTTGCGAAGTTTGCCGACGAAGTAAGCCCCGCAATCGCAACCCCTACGGCGAGTTGCGGTCGATGCCTATCCCAAGGGAACCCGGCATCTCCATTGCCATGGATGTCACCGGACCATTTCCCCACGATCGCCTCAGGCTCGACGACATCCTCACGGTGGTGGACCGTTTGAGTACGTATGCGCGTTTTCTCCCTTGCAAGTACTACTCCACGGCTCCCGAGTTGTCACGCCTCTTGCACACCGGCTGGATTTGTGGCCACGGTGTACCGCAAGACATAGTCAGCAACCGCGACACTCACTTCATGTCGACATTTTGGACTGCTCTCATGCAGGAGTCCGACACGAAGATGAAACCAAGTTCGGCTCGACATCCACAGACGGACGGGCAAACGGAGCGGGCACATCAAACCACTCAAATGATGCTTCGTACGCTCATCCGTCCGGACCAGAAAGATTGGGTTGACCGCCTCCCCGACATCGAGTTCGCCTACAACACTTCGGTGCACCCGGCGATCGGCGTGACTCCATTCGAGTTGCACCACGGTGGACGGAAAGACCGTATCTTCGCCGACCTTCTCCTCCCACGACCAGCCGACATCGACGCCACTTGCTCTCCTGCTTCCGTCCGGAAGTACAGGGAATTGCTCAAGCCCACGCGAATATGCAAAAGGCTCAAGTCCGCATGCAGCAGCAAGCCAACAAGCGTTGCGTGCCATGTCCCATCCGCGCCGGTGATCTGGTTTGCGTCTCCGCGGAATAGTTTGCACTGGAATAGGATGTTTCACGCAAACTGCTTCCCAAGTGGTTTGGACCATGGCCCGTAACATCAGCCGCGAGCGATGAGCCCGATGGCCCTTCATTTGTGATCAACATCCCCCCGCATCTGATGGTCCATCCAGTCTTTCACGCCTCGAAGCTGACAACATATACACCAGCTAAGAGCGACGACTTCCCGGGCTGACGATCGCACGACCCTCCATCTATGGATGGTCATCAGGAAGTTGACCGCGTCATCACTGATCGCAAGTACCTCGACTGTACAAAGTTACATTCAAAGCATGCGATCCCGACGACACTCGGTGGATTTCAGGAACAGATTTGAAAGCATCCGCACTGCTGATCTACGCTCACTACGAGCGACAAAGGTTAGCTCAGGGAACTTCATGACCTGCTCCTCCCACCCGGACTGTGGTCCCTCCCTCAGAAAGACAGCTTCGCCCTCGCAAGTAAGCTCGGTCTTTCAAGCAGGGCGGGGGGTGGCATACTGCGTAGCCACACGGGCCTGCAAGGCCCGTCCCACATTCTCAGCTTAAAAGCCTAAAAATAAGGGCTTACAGGCCCCATGTCGTTTCAGCCTTAAAACTGAAAACGAGGGCCTGCAGGCCCTATTTCGTTTTCAGCCTAAAACAGGGTTTTTCAGCCCTGAGGCTTTCAGCCTGAAACGGAGGGTCACTTTCGGGCCCTCATAAGATCGACCTGCCCTAACACTTTCGGGCCCTCATAAGATCGACCTGCCCTCATAAGATCGACCTGCACAAAACCAGGGTTTCGGGAACAGACTATTTTTGGCCTATTCCCACGACAGCCTCAAGCAGGAGCTGCAGAGGCAACCTCTGACTCCCTTTGGCATTGGCAAGAGCAGCCTCCTGGACTGCCTCGCCCTGCAGTCAGGAGGCAGGCCGAGTAGTACATAGAGAGTTCCCATGCACTTCACGGGTAGGTAGTTGGACAGAAGGCAGGAGACAGTCTTCAGGATTCGGCAGCAGCACTCAGGAGGAGCGCTGCAGGAGTAGCTTAGCGCTAGTAGTAGTCTTCAGCGTTAAGCGCTAGTAGCACTAGGAGTAGTCTTCAGCGCTGGGCGCTAGTAGGTGGTAGTAGTCGTGTTTGAGAGAGATGGCTGGCGGAGGCCAGTGAGACTTACCTGTGGCGCCATAGCTCCAGCTCCATCTTCGAGGTACCTGCATCAAGGCGCCAACTTCACAGGTTAGTAC